GAATTGCTACGCGCCTTCACATTTGTTGTGAGCTTTGGTTCAGAGGTCTGAAACCAAGCAATGGTTGATTACCATTTTGTGTGTTGTTTTTTTTTAAAAAAGAGCCATACAAGTGGCTTACAACTTGCATTAGTGAAAACCAGCGTACACTGGTGTTAATTCATCTTTGTACACTTTAAGATAATAAATGTAACATTGTAATCAGTCAGTGATTTGTGAGTCTTTCTTGGTGGTGCAAATTCCAACGCCAGTCAGCATGACGATGAGCTCCGGCGAGAAGACAAATCCACTTTCTATGGAACAGCTGGTTTACTGTATCAGCTTGCGCCAAAATGTACAGAGGAAAAGTTGCTGAGGCGAACACGGCGTGACAGGGAAAGGGCAAGAAGAGGGGAGACTGCCACTATTGGATTAACCAGAACACCAGCCTCTGGAATGAACAGACTGCAGCAGCGTGGTAAAATGCCAAATCCACAACAGAATTTTTTCTATCATGAGTGGAATATTTTGGGACAGGTGTTAGAGCAAGGCAGTGATGCAGTGGATGAACCTCTGAGTGAAAGGAAATACGGATTTCACTGCTCCCCTGCAAGTTTACTGCAGTTGAAGTTGTACGTCCCTTGTAGATGGTGTGTTTTGGTTAGAAATGTGTGCTTCATGGAGCCCAGTTCAAAAACATGAACTACTTGTTGGTGGAAAATCTGTCCTTCTAACTGACCTAACATGGAACTACACAGAAGGAATGTGCGCCATGGGGATTTGTCCCAGGAGAAAATATTTTGTTACGAGCTAAACCGTTATTACAGAGAGTTAAGAAAGAAAGAAACTAAAACGGCTGCTTTGGCAAATAACGGCCACTTACAGAGTGAGTGTAAGCAGATAGTACTTAGCTAACTTAAATATGCCAAACCACTGTTATCGTCCTCAACCATGCTGTGATACTCTGGCGTTTTAAAGGCACAGACAGGTGGGCTGCAATTTAAAAACGTTCACACACAGTTTTGACTGTCTTGACATTTGGTAAGGAGGTATTTCTTGATCAGAAACCAATGTTTCTTTTGGTGCTTTACGGCTTGTGGTTCCTGAGTGACAGACTTGGAGCTGGATCGTTGCTGGTGCTGATGTAGTCATTATAAATGCCTGATGATGGATCAACAAGGCTGTCGGATTCAGAAGACCCCATCAAAAGCGAAAAATACTTACTAAAATACTACTACTCAGAATTCAACCCTGGCTGAATCAGTTCAAATACTTGGTGGTGGACTTGGACAATGTCTGACCTGACACTGATGCACAACACATGGATGCAGCATTGATTTTGGGGAAGGGTCGTGAACTTGAAATGATGGCTATGGTCAGTCGTGTGCGGGCTGTCTGGGATTTGACACAGATTCAGTCTATTAGGTTTTAGCCCTCCAAAGGCTACAGCTTCATCAGCTATTTGTTATTAAAGAATTGATCCTTGAAACATGACCATCAGTAGTGGTTTTCAGATCAACGTAAAATTGACTGCTTTCCTTCAATTATATGTGACAACTTTGGATAGTTAACAAAATATGTGCACAACATTTTCTGCAAGTATTTAAGATAATATGGTTCTTTTATTTTTCAATAATGAGTGATTAAAATTGATCTAGGAGGAAGGGTAAATGATTGTGCCAGATTCTGTTGCTTTGTGTATTTTGACTCAATGCCATATTGTCCTTTTTAAGCCAGCGGTGGATAGCATTTTTAATTTATGGAGAATACTGTTTGGTCTTTTCAAAAATAGTGTGAGTAATAAAAGTCTTGTGGTAGAGAGTCTTGCATGGAACTTGATCGAATATACAGTAAATTTTGATTCTGGTTAGAATTTGCAATTGGTTTGTAGTGTGTGTGAGCCATTTCAACAAGCGTGACCTACAGTATATGTTGGCTGTTGTGGGCATTGATCGTAATGGTGTCCATGGTCTCTGATGTCCTTTATTCTAACATTGCTCTTCCAGTTCAGTGGTGTTTTATTGGAATGCCAGGAAATTGACACTGAGCTAGAGAAACTCTGTTGGCAATAATGCTGTTCTATACCCTTCTGTCTACAGGTGCTGTTGTTTGTGCTTCAGCATGGCGGTCGTCATCCGTTTACAGGGACTGAGAGTCACAGCAGGCTCTGAGGATATTCGCAAATTCTTCACTGGCCTCAAAATTCCAGATGGAGGGGTACATATAATTGGTGGGGAGCGAGAGGAAGCGTTCATTATCTTTGCTTCAGATGAAGATGCAAGAAGAGCCATGACACGGTCAGGGGGGTGCATTCAGGGTTCACCTGTTGCATTGCTACTGAGTAGTAAAACAGAAATGCAGAGCATCCTTGAAAGAAGTACAAAAAATGTAGAGCTAGATCAAAAGAGGCGACACGAGGAGAATGCAAGATGGGCTCGAAGATCTGTGGACCCTGAGGTGGGCCGGAGATCAGGTAGCAGATCGGGCCATACCCCTCCTCCCCAACACCTGAGAGCTTCACACACTGATGACTACTTGCATGTGTTTCTAAAAGGAATGCCATTCTCTGTGACTGAAGCGGATGTCCGTGACTTTTTCAGTGGTTTACTTGTTGATGAAATAGTCTTGTTGAAAAATGCACATGGTGCAAAGAACGGGAAAGGTCTCGTCAAATTTGCAACAAGAGAGGATGCGTATGAAGGCCTGAAGAGGGATAGGAGATACATTGGGTCAAGGTATGTGGAGGTTTCAACAACAACCTTAGACGACTGGCGTCGGGCTACTGGTAACATGTCAATGGCTGTCAACACGGACAACAACTTTGGAAGGGAGAGATCACCTATTCGCAATCAGAGGAATCCACAATATCCAAGGTCACAGTCACCTTTGACCCAAAGGTCCATTGCTTCTTCCGACGATGAGTACTGCGTTCTGTTGGAAAATTTGTCGTATGCAGTGGAAAAAGAAGACATTAAAAAGCTTTTTCGTAATGCAAAGCTCGAGGATGACCAGATCCTGCACTTAATTGACGGTGATGGTAGAAGAACTAGATCGTCATTTGTGCTCTTCAAGAGTCTGCGTGACTATTGTGAGGCTTTGACTCACGAAAAAAGGCAGTTTCTCAACCGATGGGTTTTTACCCGCCCGATCTCAAGAGAGAAAATGATCGCCCTTCTGGAATCTCAGGGCATGGATGATAAACCTCCTGGAAACCCTGAAAGGTTTCAGGAGAGGCCTCCATCTTACCCCAATGATGCTTATGACTCTGAGAAAGTGTGTCTGTTTGTGCGAAACCTGCCATTTGATGTACGGAAAGTTGAGATCATGGACTTCTTCCTTGGGTTTAATATTACAGAGGACAAGGTGTTCGTGCTGCATGACCATAAAGGTGCTGGGGTGGGGAAGGCTTTGATTCTCTTCCAGTCTGAGGCAGAGGCTATGAGTGCACTCTCTCTCAATGGACAACGGTTTCTTGGGTCAGAAGTCCTACTGAAATGCATATCACGTTCTCAGATGCGGCAGTTGGGTGTTGAGCCACCAGTGGTGCAAGAGACAATTGTGCAAGAGCCACTGCCAAGAGAGGAGCAGTACTCAGGCAGGAGCAGCGAGGCATCCTATCGGCCTGGTGACACAGAGTACCCTGACTTTAGGATTTCTCATGATGGTAACGGACCAATGACTAATGTACAGGCTAATAGCCACAGAGGCTATGATCACGAGCCCTATGCAGTAGGCCCTTACGCTCCACAAGACAGAGGTAATGGCGTTCGTGGGGGTTTTGGTCCCTCAGTGCAGCATCTTGATGGTCCCACCTGTGTAAAGCTGCTTAACTTGCCATTCCAAATCAGAAGCGAAGAAATCTATGACTTTTGCTATGGATATCGCATTATCCCTGGATCTGTCTCACTGCTGTACGACCAGAGTGGAAAACCCAGAGGCTCTGCAACTGCAGTATTTGAGTCCCGTCAGGAAGCGTTGACAGCAGTTGAGGAACTGAGTGGAAGACCAATAGGTCCAAGGAAAATACAGCTAACACTAGTGTGAAAGTGACATTGCTTTCCATGGTACCTAACGTGCCCTTGTAGTGTGGTATATACATATACACAATGTTGATTGAAGCAAAGTGGATTTCAGGGAAGCAATTGACTTTTTTTTTTTTTCTTCCCTTTTTGATTAATGTGGCATGGCTTTATATGATTGGGAATACAGTGAAGGTTTTTTTTTTCTAGCTGCCAAAAATATATTTGATTAGGCAATATGGTCTGTCTACTACTTAATATAGGTTTTGTATGCAGTGTTCATCTTAGTTAAATATTCTGTTTTTGTTTTTTCATCAAAATATTTTTGTATAATTCAGCTTACAACACTGGAGAGAAATGTATGGAAATTTAATTTTACTATCTGTGGCTGTTGTGAAAAGTGTGGCTTTTATAAAAACACTTACCTTTGAATTGTCCATTTTTCTTCACATATCCATCACTTAAAGTATATTTTGCTTGCTGACAAACTTTGTGTAGATGAAAAGTGATGGTTACTCACTGATCACATAAATTAGTTACTTTTATTTAGATTGGGTTCAATGAAATGGCCTTAAGTGATTTAATGTACTCATGACTGAATATTAAGTTGGGATATATGTATGCTTTTTTTATAAACTCCAGTTGTCCGAAAGGAAGACGTGTGAAAGAGATGGGGGAGAGGAAGAGTGACCACTATGAGAAAATAATGTGTATTCATATTGGCCCTTGTCTCTTTTCTCTGATGTAAACAATTAACACCAGTGACAGGTGTAGCTCCTCTTGGGCTACAAATAATATGGACTTTGAGCTGAAAACGGCACCGATGCCAGAACATACTGTACATGACTATGATTTGTGTGTTTAGCAGAGATCTTAAAAAAAACCTAAATTTTGCACGTAGTAACTAAAAATTAAATTAAAATTAAAATTGTAGCAGGATCTCAGCACCCTATTTTTTATATGTATATTTATATTGTATTACACCTGGTAAATGGATTCTGGACAATTTCCTACTCATGTAGTAGTAGTAGTATTTATGACCACATCTTCACAATGACATGAAGACATATCAACAAAAGCTCTGTGTGCTAATTTGGCTAAATGTGCAAGCAACTTGCTCAATGCTCTGCTGATAGTGATATATGATCTTCTGTATTATAGTAATTCATATTTTATTTTGAAAGTTGTTCACCGGAAGTGGAGGTGTTTGTTTGACTAGCATGTCACCGGTCAAGTGAGCAGACAGAAAACCACGCTGAGGGAATTTTGTAGAAGTACAGGTGAATAATTAAACATATGTCTTTTTTAAATATATATAGTAAAACGACTACGTTGAGGACTTTGTAACGTGAACTTTCCCGTATAAAATGACTAGCTATATAATGATGGTAACATCCAGATGCAGGGGGTGCATAGAAGTTCAAACTTTGCATCATTTTGAAGTGGCATTTGTTAACCACATAACGTTAACTTCTTATTTTATCCGCATTATGTTAAAATACGACAAAGCGTGTGATCGTTAGTAGAGTCGCTGCCGTTGAAGAGGCAGTGATTGGTAAACGTTGGACTGAAGCGCTAATGGTAGCCGCTGGACGTTGTCATGCAGTCCGTGGTTTACACAGATGTCTGCCATGAAACACTGTGATGGGCAACGGCGACTCATTTGAAGCTTTTCTCCAAAGTTGCTTCTTTATTGTACAACTTAGGCAGAAAGGGAGTTATCGACAGCGTTCTACAAGTATTAAGAGATTATTTATTCATGTCCAGTTCGCTTACTGTCAGTTAAACTACTTAAGCTAATAGGGCCGATTGTATTGTTCACGTTAGCTGTTGTGCTACTCATCGTGGGACATGATCAGTGACAGCTAAATGTTCGTTTATTCCAACTAACTCCACTTGAGAAACTTAACGTTAATTATATAAGATACTTATGATATAACTAGCTAAATAGCGTCCATACTTTAAATGCTGAACACTAATATTACATATGGTTCTGCTGTGAATTGGGGAAGATCAGCTGAAGCCTGGCATACAACTAATCCCAATACATTTCTCAGATCTAATGTCAACATGCACCTGTTGCTTTGACCCACTACAGGTACTGTCTGCAACATTTGGAAAGCAGTGAAAAGTAACACGTTGAAATATGTATATATACACACACACACATCTGCTTGTAGTAACACAGCACCGCTCAGCAAATGTGATGAGCAAGCCTGGTAGAGTTTAGTAGATTTAAAACATGTCTGAACCTTACTGACACCAGAATGGAGGTATCAAGGAGAAGAGTCCTCCAAAAACACCTGGAGCCAGCGAGACCCCTGCGCCGCTGCCTTCATGTTGACATTGGTAAGCAGTCTGCATCAGTTGGTCAGATTTATGGGAATGAAATAAACTTGTTCATGTTTAACGGCATGCTCATATTATAACTCTGTCACTTCATTTAGAGCCCAATATGAATACTGCTACATGTGCACAGGCACTGATGGAGGAGGTGGATCAAGAGGTAAGACATCCCAAAGAAAGACATGACATTATTTTCACTATCAATTATTTTGTCTATCATTTCTCGATCATCTGTAAAATGTAAGAAGAAATCACAATTCTCCTTTTAGATTGCTTTTTTTTTTTTTGCCTAAACAACAGTCCAAAACCCAAATGTATTCAGTTTTCAATGATACAACACTTGAAACCGTTCAATGTTTGGCATTTTTGCTTGATAAATTACTTATAAAACAATTATATTGATTATTTAAAATTGTCGTTGATTAATTTTCTTTCTGCTCTTCAGTATTTGAGTCTCACATACACACTCCTTTAAATAAACCATTTGCCTGTTAAGCAGTTGATTTAGACATTTCTCTAATTTTGCGCTTGATAGACAAATGTTGGCATAGAGCAGTTCTACAAGATTGTCAACCTGCACAAACAGAAAGAAGGTAAAGCTTTATTATCAGAATAACAACATACTTTTTTCAGATTTGCCTGATTCTAACTCTTGTAATGTATTTAATATATATATATATATTCTTTTTGTAGGCAGAATATCTTACTCGAGAGATTTTTTAATTGGTCTGGCGAGTTGTCCTCAGGCCAGGAAGAAGCCGGAATTCTTGCCAGAGCACCCGATAGTCCTAAGCGAGGCAGTAAGTTGGGTGTCATTTTCATTGTGGTATCCTCACTAAATGGTCAAAAAAAACTGTTGTCAACTGCTGTTGTGGATTAATTATGTTTTAACAGAGAGATCTTGGCGATCTAAGGCTTCATGAAATGAGGTTGAATGGAGGAAAAGAAGAAACGTGAGTTTAATTTTATATGCAAGCTCTTACTCACTACTGGTTATTCCATCATTGCCTTACTATGGGTGTTTTTTATTTATTGAATTGAAGTGTCTTGAAAGTCCAGTGTGTAACATTTAGGAGGCTCTATTGGCAGAAAAGGAATATAATATTCATAGGTATGTTTTCATTAGTGTATTATCGCCTGAAAATAAGAATCATTATGTTTCTTGGAAAAGGAGGGTGAAGCGACAGAGTTGCGATAACTACACAGCTTCATGCCACTGAATCCTACACACTGGATCTTTTAATAAAAGTAACAAACAGTGTGAAAAATATTTGTTTCTGTTTTTAGGATGGCAGAAAGGCTTCCCTCACCCTAAGACATTTGCACAGGTGTTCCCTACCCCAAAGAGTGTTTGTTTCTGTTTGTTTTTTTTTCTTACTGCTTTCTGAGTGAATTTAATTTAACTTGTGATATTTTAATTTGCATGTTTATTATTTTGATGACCGTTTGAGGTGAAGTTGCACAAAGTCATAACACTGAACACCACTTTACTTTGAGTGTTGCATTTTGCTTATATTTCCTGCTGTGTACAATTTTGGCTGTAGTGAAGTATTTATATTTTGTAAAAAAGTTCTAAACATAAGATATTAATGGCTACTTTTCAGCTGTGGTGCTAATGTTTCGTTTAAAGGAACGAGAAAGAAAAAAAAAAAAGCCATTTAACTCAGACTCATCACCACTCATCACATTAGAGTCAACAAAAACAAACCATACCTGAAGTGACAGTGATGTTCGTCATCTGCTGTATTAGTTGGGATTACATCAAAATTGTGGATTAACATGATTTGGTAAACATGTTGACCTGTCTCATAAAGGAGTGTTTGGCTAAAACGTTTGGTGTGTTGACATTTTCTTTCTGTCATGTCATTAAAACTTGCAAGGTGCCACTCAGTGACCATACAGAGAGACTTTGTCTAACTCTGCAATGCCCCTTTGTTTTATATTCTATTTTAGTGTCTTTCAGCTGACTGTTTTCTGAGCCACAGCCCTGCTTGTATCCTCATTTATCAGCTATCAGCTGTTCTCAGCAGAGCCCTGTGTGCTACCTGCCCGTCACCAAACAGCTGGCAGTGTTTTCCATCATCTGGGGAACATAGTGGAGCATTTAGCAGCTAACGAGCCAGAT